AGCCCTGTTAGCGAAGGCAGGAAAATCCTTTATGAGAATTTGACTTAGGATTCCCAGGTCAGCCACCATCAGCGTAGGGCGGTAACCGATGTAGTATCTGTAGGAGAGGAGAGGGCGAAGGCGTGGGGGGGGGGGGGGGCGGTTAAGTTTTTTTGGATACTGATTGGGTTTGATATGAAGAGAAAAAACAATAATGACAAAAAGGAAATTATAATGACTAAGAAACAAACAAACTAATAATGATGATGATGATGATGATAATAATGATAATTATAACAATCATAATAATAATGATAATATTGATAATAATGATAATGATAATAAAAATAATACTATAATAATAATAAAGATTATAATCATAACTAAAACTATAATATAGATAATAAAAAATACATCAATGATAATGATAATGATAGTTTAATGAAAATAGTAATAACAATAACATTTCTATAAAAAAAAATCAAATTACGACCATAACAAATTCCTGTCTTCACTTGATCGCATTTTCTAACAGACAGACGGCGACAACTTACCCACACACTTTTCCGTACTTCTGCAGCCACTCCGTCTGTACTCCAAGGACGTCCTGAAGTGAGAAAAAAAGGTTGTTCGGTACTTCGGTCTTGTAAGTTTATTTAAGGTATTTTAATTATGTCGTTTAGATAGTAGGCTAATAATGAGGGTGTGGGGTGGGGTAGGGGATGTGTGTGTGTCTGTGGGTGTCTGTGGGTGTCTGTGTGTGTGTGTGTGTGTGTGTGTGTGTGTGCGTGTGTGTGTGTGTTGTATTGTGATGGTGTTTCTGAAGCCGTATACTTGCGGTAAACCTTTTGTTCTGTTCTCTTCTTTTATCCTCTGCTTATATCTCTACCTCACTGCTGACCCGTTTACCGAATGACCTTTTCCCTCCTTTTTTTTAAAACCGAATTCCCATTTTGTGATCCCTTTAAAAGAAAAAAATAGTCTCTCTGTTTTTTTTTCCGCCAAAATGCATACCACCCGCAACGGTCGCTAAAAATCTTCCAACAGAACAAATTCATTCTCTCCGTATTTAGCATCGCCACTTAATCTTAAACCAAGTGACCTTTTTTTTATTAACTCAACATGACCTTTAATAACTGACCTTATCCCGTGTACGAAGTTGAAGAAGGTTTCCAAAAATGAGAGATGGCGGAGGACCAGGAATTCCATGTCGGCGCCAGAGGTAAAAATGGCGGGCGCGGCAACTGAGGGAAAAGAGACAGACACGAGACTCGTTAATGACAGTAATAATAACACGATTGATTATTCAACAGTAGAAGGGATGATAAAATTGATTATGGCAATGATAATTATATTAGTTTTAGAATTAAAAGCGATAGCAATTAAGATAATAGTTGATAAGACAAGATAATGATGATTATATTAACAATAACAACACGAACAGTTTATTTGACGGTAAGAAGAATAATGATAATGAAAACTAAAATAACTATATTAGTAATAACAACAGTAACAATTAGTATAATAGTTAAAAGTATAATAATGATTATAACAACTAAAATAAACACGAACAATCACTTTCATATATAGAAATGATAACGATAACCACAATAATCATATTAGTAATGACACGGAGAATTATTTCAACAGTAAAATGAATAATGATGATGATAATAACTATAACAATCATATCAGTAATGGTGTTTATGATAGATGATGATAACAATGTTCAGTGGCAATGATAATACGAATGGTAATAAACGATCATTTTAAATGAAAATATAAGTGGTAATGAGGATGATAATGATGATAATGATAGAATCAGTGATAACAGTATAGAAATAGAGAGAAAATGGAATGATAATGATAGTAGTTGCAGTAATAGTAATAGTGATAACCATTGTAAATAAAGTTATCGTCATTTATTACTGTTATCATTATTGCAATAATTATTGCCATCATTAACATCATTAATGTTATCACTATTTTTGTTATAAATTTTCGTGTAATGATAAGAATAATAATAATAATAACAAGAATGATTCAAATTGTGATCATAATCATAACAGTTATGAATAGAAGCAATAGTAATCAGTTCAAGAGGGTCAGCTGTGAATGAAAATAGCTATGAGCACAAGCCTTGTAAAGCAAATTTCCCATTCTAATTTTCAGCGTATAATACACTTTCTACAAGACGACAGTAATAGTGATAATAATAATGATAATAATAATTAGTAGTAGTATTAGTAGTAGTAATGATAATTATACTACTACTAATAATAATGATATTAATAACAATACTACTAATAATAATAATGATATTAATAACAATACTACTACTAATAATAATGATATTAATAACAATACTACTACTACTACTACTACAACTAATAATAATAATAATGATACTACTACCAATGATAATAATATTAATAATGATAACAACAATAGGGTACAGTACTTTATATTCATCAACATTACAGATGTCGATACCTTTCGCTCACTTCTATTACCAAACACAGCCATCTGTCGTGGACCTCTTGTAGACACAGACTAATGTACACTTTATTAGTGAATTTGAAATACAACGTATATCTATATTTTTATTGAACTTATAGTTGTGAATCTAACGCAAGCCACCGGTGTGAAGTTACCAGCTGTAACATTGAAAAGTGGCCCATATATTGAGCCTTCGTTGAAAGATAATTTAGCATTTATCATATCATTTACCAGGTCGTTAATTTTCTTGTTATCTCTGATAGCAGTGAGAGTAAATGTTATGATTATCGTGCTTGTGTTTGGTGGCAAGTATAAGCTCAGGGGAATCTGCAGGTGAGATAATGCTTTCTGAAAAAAAAATCTTCGTTCCTAGTGCTCTTGATTTCCCTTCCTCTCTCTCTCTCTCTCTCTCTCTCTCTCCTCTCTCTCTCTCTCTCTCTCTCTCTCTCTCTCCTCTCTCTCTCTCTCTCTCTCTCTCTCTCTCTCTCTCTCTCTCTCTCTCTCTCTCTCTCTCTCTCTCTCTCTCTCTCTCTCTTCTCTCTCTTTCTCTCTCTCGCTCTCTCTCTCTCTCTCTCTCCTCTCTCTCTCTCTCTCTCTCTCTCTCTCTCTCTCTCTCTCTCTCTCTCTCTCTCTCTCTCTCTCTCTCTCTCTCTCTCTCTCTCTCTCTCTCTCTCTCTCTCTCTCTCTCTCTCTCTCTCTCTCCCTCTGTACTTCTCCTTCTCCTTCCCTTTCGTTCCCTCTATTTATCTATCAATCTATCTATATCCTTTCTTTTTGTGGATAAAGAAAATAAAACACTTTGGGTGAAAAAACAAATATGGAAGTAAAGTCATTAATTATGACATCAATCTGGAACTTTCCAATTAATGGTATGAGGATTAATTCACATACTGACCGCTGATGAACCAAATAATATTAGAATTTTTGTAAATAGATTATGGACTGTCGTATATCGATTACTATTTATCTATTCATGTTTTACTTATATAAGAAGTCTGCAGTCTAATATAAAACAAATATTTTTTTTATCGTTCCATCAATCACCGATGAAAAAATGTATATATCTGTCAGACCTATTTTGCTACATTACATTTCTGTCAAAAGTCATGAATAAGTCTCATTCTATGTATTACAACCTACAACATTACTAGATATAGGTTATCAGTATTAGAAAGTATAACGTTTGTTCAATATTTCATTGACATATGTATATGTGTGTGTGTGTGTGTATGTGTTTGTGTGTGTGTGCGCATACGATAAATACATTTCTCTTTCTCTCTCTCTCTTTCTCTCTCTCTCCCTCTCCCCCCCCCTCTCTATCTATCTATCTATCAATCTATGTATCTATCTATCTGTCTTTCACTCACTTTTCTTACCCTCTCTCTTTTCTCGCTCGCTCTCACTTTTCTTAATCTCTCTCTCTCTCTCTCTCTCTCTCTCTCTCTCTCTCTCTCTCTCTCTCACTTTTTTTACCCTCTCTCTTTCTCTCTCTCTCACTTTTCTTAATCTCTCTCTATCTATCTATCTATCTATCTATATCCTGCGTGTATGTGTGTGCGTGTATGACTGTGCGAGCGTTTCCCTGATTTCCCCTCTCTTTATTCCCCTCTTTACCTCCAACTTTACTATATATTCTCCCACCCACGAACATCCATTAAATATACTGACAAAGTAAACAACCCACCCCCTTCCCCCCCACCCCCACCCGTCGGAAACCGAAATAGCCACCCAGCATAGCAACGTCTCTTTTTAAATTTTAAAAATTTTAAGTGTGTCGTTACTTGTTATTTCTTAGAGACGTTGGTTTGGCGTGTTCTGTAGTCTTGGTTTGTTTGTTTGCTTGTTTGAGTTTGTTATGTTTGTCTTGAATTGTTGCGCTTCGAGTGTTTCTCTTTTTTTATGTGGATTGAGGTCGATGTTTGTGTGTTAAGATGTGTATTTTTTTCAATTCTTTTATCTTCTTTCTTTCTTCAGTATTCGTTATTATTTTCCTGCTTTGGATTTTTTCGTATTAGAGATCTAGTTTTATTTTTTTTGGAGATAGGGAATAAATGACATAATCATTGATATTATAATTCGTTATGATATCCACGCTATCAGATCGATCAAGCATTACGCCTGTAGCCCACATGACGTCATACATTACGAGCCTGATAAGCATTCATTCTCATCAAAATCACTCTCCGAGATATAAACATCCTTTCAACGCCATCCTCTGTTAAAAGTTTTAATTCTACTCAACGATATGACAGAGGAACATAATTCCCGGTTGTACATTTCATCAGCGGCCATATTTGTCACCTTATCAGATGCAAGTCACCTGGCGGAAGGAGCGAGCATTTGCGCCCTTCTTGCTCTCATGGAGGGGGGGGGGTTAATGTTTACAAGTCCTCGTTCCGGGCGAGAAGGACGCAAGTGCTGAGTTCTTGGCTCCTTAATTTAACGTTGGAGGGGAAAAAAATGGGTATTTTGGTCACCAACTGTTAATAGCTTCTCGTTAGCGGGTTCGAATTCCTGTTGTT